TAAAAGGTGTGCGGGGGTGATTTTTAAAAAATATTTGCAATTTTAAATAATTTTTAAAAATGCCTGCGTTACAAAGGCGGTTTGGGAGTTTCCCGTTGTCTTTGTGGGCGTCAAAAGCGAAGTTCGCGCAATAAACTGGACTAACCTTCGACTCGGCAACTTGTTACGCGTGCGCGCAGTCTGTGGGGGGTTCCCGAGGGCCGCAGGCTGGAACTTCCGAGAAAAACGCACGTTTTCCTACAAAAAAATAATGTATTTTAGAAAAACTGCAGCGAAACCCGGCCGATTTCCATTACATTCCCAATTGGACATGCTTAAACTAACGGCGCGCTAGACCTCGCCGGTCATCATCTCCATGAACTCTGCAAGGGAAAGCCATTAGCTGGGGAAACTCGGGTTTCCCCCGGGAAAACTCACCGTCAAAGTCCACCGTTCCCGAGCCGTCGGTGTCGATTTCCTCGATCATCATGTCCAGTTCGCGGTCGGTCAGCTGATCGTCCAGCTCGCGCAGAATCTCCCGGAGGCACGAGGTGGGGATGTACCCGTTACCTGGATCAGGCCCCGCCCCCATCAGTCCCCACCACTCAGCCCCCACCAGCCGCGCTTACCCTCCTTGTCGTAGAGCCGGAAGGCCTCCTTCAGCTCCTTCTGCATGGCCTCGTCGTCCTCCTCCACAATGAACTTGGCGGCCAGCGTGACGAACTCCTCGAACTCCAGCCGACCGGACTCTGGAACAGCAGCCCCTATTAGCGAAAAGGAGCCTACGGCAGCGCCGCCGTGCGCCTACTGTCCGCGTCCACCTCATCGATCAGCTCCTCCAGGATGCGCTTGTCGAACGGTTGGCCCATCAGGCGCAGAATGTCGGCCACCATGTCGCATGGGATGCTGCCAGACTTCTGGCTGTCGAACGCCTCGAAGGCTTTGCGCAGCACTGCAAAAGAACCCCTCGGTTAGTCGCCCTCCGGAGCGCCGCCCACTGCAGGACTTACCGGCGATCTGCTCGGCGGGAAGCTCATCCTGGAACAGAAACTGCGATTAGTGAAACTGTGCGCGACTGAAACTCCTGCCAGGATCGCACCATTGCGTGCAGGCGGGCGTCTGGATCGGCACTGAAAGGGGGGCTTTCRGCGCCCATCTGGACCCCCCGGGCGGTTATAGCGGGTTGCGGTCGTTTTTGCTTTGATCGCCCACGCCTGGATACGAGGGGGCCTGCCTGGAGCGGCGCCCAGCCAGGCGGGCCAGACGGGCAGCCGGGGGCGGGCGAGGGCACGTTTCCAGCCGCCCCCGTAGCACCACTCGAGCATTATCCCGAAAAAGCCCAGTAATTGCGAAAACGAGAGTAATGCAGTGCGGCGCCGGCTAATTTTAGCGCATCCAGAGAAAACAGCCGTTTTTCCGGATATTTATGAGGCGCAATCAGTGGCGGCCCCACACACACGCGCTTTTTAATTCGCCAATTTCGCCAATGCCGACCCGATTTTAGACCGGTTGATTAATGGGTGCGCGCTGTTTCCCCAATCCAGGCTTTTTGCGGTTGGCGGGGCTGAAAAATCGCCCCAGCCGTTGGAAGCTTTTCGGGCGATGAGCGCTTCTTCCCCAGCCGAGAAGTCTGGAACGGGTGGAGCTGGGAGTTTGATTTTTGGTACCCCGATGGACCCAAGTGGGTGCTCAACTGGGGGGAAACTTGACCGCAATCGTCAGGCCGAAACGCAAAGGACGATTTTTCAAACTGGATCAATTGCCAAAGTGAAACTCGCCAAAGTTTGGAAATTTTCGAAAAAATCCCTGATGGTGGCAGCGAATCGAAACTTTCACAAGTTTCAGGCCCAACTCGTCGTCCTTTAACGCAAGAAACCCCAAGTTTCCTGCTGTTGCGGTTGAGGCGCAATGAACTTTTCAATGGCCGATCGCATATGCGCGTATTCGGAGTGGAAATGCGCAAATTTTAAAAATTCCTGAAAAAATCCCTGATGATGGCAGCGAATCGAAATTTTCACATGTTTTAGGCCCAACTCTTCTGCTTTTAACGCAAAAAACCCAAAAATTGCAGCTTTTCTGGTTGGGGCGCAATGAATTTTTCAATCGTCCATCGCATCCGCGTGTGATGGAAGTGAAAAACCGCAAACTTTAAAAATTCCTCAAAAAATTCCTGATGATGGCAGCGAATCGAAACTTTCACACGTTTTAGGCACGACTCTTCTGCTTTAAACGCAAAAAAACCGAAACCGAAATTTACAGCTTTTCTGGTTGGGACGCAATAATATACGCAATAATAATGGCGCATCGCATCCGCGCGTAATGAAAATGAAAATCCGCAAATTTTAAAAATTCCTTGAAAAATCCCTGATGATGGCAGCAAATCGAAACTTTCACACATTGTAGGCCCGACTCGTCTTCTTTCGACGCAAAAAACCCGAAATTTCCAACTTTTCTGGTTGGGGCACAATGAATTTTTCAATCGTCCATCGCATCCGTGCGTATTGGAAGTGAAAATGCGCAAACTTAAAAAATTCCTGCAAAAATCCCTGATCATGGTAGCGAATCGAAACTTTCACACGTTTTACGCCCGACTCTTCTGCTTTTCACGCAGGAAACCCGAACTTTACACCTTTTCTGGTTGGGACGCAATTAAATTTTCAATGGCTCGTCGCATCCACGCGTAATGGAAGTGAAAATTCGCAAACTTTAAAAATTCTTCCAAAAGTCCCTGATGATGGCAGCGAATCGAAACTCTCAGAAGTTTTAGGCCCAACTCGTCTTCCTTTAACGCAAGAAACCTCAAGTTTTCTGCTGTTGCGGTTGAGACGCAATGAACTTTTCAATGGCCGATCGCATATGCGCGTATTCGGAGTGAAAATGCGCAAATTTTAAAAATTCCTGAAAAAATCCCTGATGATGGCAGCGAATCGAAACTTCCAGCTTTGCTGGTTGGGACGCAATAATATTTTCAATGGCGCATTGCATCCGCGCGTAACGAAAGTGAAAATCCGCAAACTTTAACAAATCGTCGAAAAATCCCTGATGATGGCAGCGAATCGAAACTTTCACACATTTTAGGCCCAACTCTTCTGCTTTCAACGCAAAAAACCCGAAATTTCCAGCTTTTCTGGTTGGGACGCAATGAATATTTCAATGGCCCGTCGCATCCGCGCGTATTCGGAGTAAAAATGCGCAAACTTTAAAAATTCCTGGAAAAATCCCTGATGATGGCAGCGAATCGAAACTTCCACACATTGTAGGCTCGACTTTTCTGTTTTTAACGCGAAAAAACCCCAAATTTACAGCTTTTCTGGTTGGAACGCAATGAAATTTTCAATCGTCCATCGCATCCGCGCGAAATAAAAATGAAAATTCGCAAACTTTAAAAATTTCTCAAAACATCCCTGATGATAG